AGCCTTCGCTCTAGTCTCCTGTGATGACAGAAATACCTAGTTATATATCTCTTTTAAACAGTTTTCTCCCTCCTCTGTTTCAGTGCAGTATACATTGTTGAACCCTCCTCTGCCCTTTCTGTGAGAACATTGGCCCCTGTGTCTCCTGCTGGGGTGAGGACAAGTGTCCCTCCCCACTGGGCTCAGCACGTCACGGGGAGACTGGCCCCAGTGGCTGCACAGCGGGACCGTTGGACGAGCGGTGCCCTGTCTCACTGTTGGCTCGTCCACGTGGCACTGTGTTCCTGCTTAGCATCCGGTTTGTAATGAATGCCCTTCACCTCTCACCACCGAGACCAGCGTCTCTGCTTTGTGCCCTTCCTGCTTCATTTTCCGTTCCTCAGAAGACCATTTTGCCTCTCATTTCCCAGAAGAAAGAGGCAGGGAAGGCCCCCCTCCCTTCCCAGCTCTTCCGTGGGAGCGTGCTTGCGGGTTCCTGCGTCTTCATCCTCTTTTCTCCCCTCTCTCAGCAGTGGGACTCCCTCTCTGGTTCAGAGACCCAGTTCCCTCCTGGCTGTGCCCTCCACGCTGGTCGTCTGTTTGTCCTCTTGAGGGGCCTCTCTCCTCAGCCCCTGGACCTGCACCTGGGGAGGTCACTGAGTGGACACTGCCAGTCCCCTTTGTGAGGTGATGTGTAGCTGGCGTGCGAGAGGAGCTCTCATGGCACCTTGTCCTTTTATTGTGGCCTCCGACACTTCAGCCTCTTCTCGCTGAAGCGCTCGCCTAGGTTTCTTGTTTTTTTTTTTGGACTTTTGCTTGTTTTTAGGATTGCCTTTGGTGGGCTTTTTCTTTTCTTTTTTTTTTTAATTGTAAGGTTTTTTTTTCCCTGATAAATTTTTTTAAATTTATTATTAATTTCAATGACAATTTAGAGACTTTGGATTTTCATTCATTCATTGTTGCACATTTTCCTCTTCCAGCCCTCCCCCCTAGACTTTTGCTTTTCTAAAACTCCTTTCTCACATTTCCTCTCAAAGTTCCTTTCTCAACCCTCCCCTGACAATGACTTCGACACCCACCATAGTGTTTGAACCCAGTCAAACCCAGATCTGGGACATCGAGTCCACTGACTTTCTTCTGGTTGTTTTTCTGCTACATAGGCACCTTCCGTTTGGATTCGTTTTCCTCCCCAACCCTCAGACTCAGTCCTGGGCTTGGGACAGTCTCTGTTTAGTCCTTAGGGAGTCAGTCACTGTGTGGATAGGTGAGAGTGTATGTGGGAGAGAGAAAGACTGTGTGTGTGGGTGTGGGTGTATGTGTGTGTGTGTGTGTGTGTGAGAAAGACTACATGGCTGAGAGAAACTGCATGTCTGAGAGACAAACTGTGTGGGAAGGGGGGGAGAGAGAGAGTGTGTGTGTGTGAATTGGAGTCTATTTAAAAGATTTAAGTGTGAGACTGACTATATGTATATGAAACAATCTGAGAGGCTGTGTGTGTGAGAGATACTTTATATGTGAGAGCAAAACTGAGTAAGAGAGACTGAGAATGAGGGGGACAGAGAGAGAGAGGTTGTATGAACTGGGGTCAGGGGGAGAGAGAGAGAGAGAGATGGCAGGTTCTGAATCTGGACCATGTGGATGAAGTGTCAGCTTCTATTTTTGACCCTCTGATAACAGCTTAGGATCTGTGTACATTAATGAACCTAGCTCCCTTATGACCTGGTCGAGTCACCATGCTCATTTTTCAGATATGAAAATTAGGGTTCAGGATAGGTTGATCGTCTAGAAGCAGTAACATTTTGTTGGAGAATAAATGAAGATTTCCTTGTTGGATGCTAGGATACCTCACTCCCAAGCACTAACCTCAGACCAAGGCCAGAGGTGTCCAGGATCCAGCAAGCCTAGTCAGCGAGGTCGTGCTGACCCACATGTCTCTGAAGTCCGTTCCTCTCTCAGCACCACGCCCTGCCTTGGGGCAAGTGTTCCCTCTCCTCCTGTGGTTTCAGGACCAGGAGGATTGTCTTCAGAGTACTGTTTGATTCACTCTTTTTCTCTTTTCAGTGACCTGAATCCCACTAACGGCTCTGGACCTGTGATTGTTCATGCAAGCAGGTTTGACAAGTATGGTATGTTCCCACGTGCCTCAGCTCCTCTGGTGGTCCTGTGCCAGTCACACTGCCCCTGTGGGAGGATCAGCTTGGGGCTTGTACTGTATGTGATGCTGTTCGCCAGCACATTGATGCTAGCAGCCACTTCGTGTGCCAGGACAACCTTCCTCTTAATTTTCCTGGCTGCCCTCTTGATGAAAATGAGTAGGTCTCTCTGTAGAGCCGCTGGGTGGGTGTGAACCTCCAGCCTCTCAGTGGCAGGTGGAGCCCTTCCCCGTTGGACCGTGTAGCCCACTTGACTTGAGTGACATTTGAACTGCAGTGTCCGTCCCCTCCTTGGCAGGAATGCCGACTCTCTGGAGCTCTTGGTTCTTGGCTTTCTCGCTCTCTGGTGTCTCTCACCACTGTGGAGAGGACCAAGGCGGAGGTGGAGCCTGGAGGTGGGGCCCGATGGGGACACAGCCATCCTGGGCCTTAGGAAGAGCACAGTGGTTGTTGATGCCTCAGCCGTTGTGAGGCTGAGCTGGGTGAGGGAGGGACCCCATGGGACCCCTCCCTGACCTGGGCCGCACTTCTGCTTCCTCGGCGTTCACTCTTCCTCTGGATGTTGCAGTTGATACCAAGTGTCCGCACGAAGCAGCCTATGACGCCTTCCTCTGTGGGTCAGGTGAGAGTCACTCTTCTTTCCAAAGGAGGCTGATTTTTGTATCTCTGCCTAGTCCTGCTGCCCCAGACCCCTGTTGCCCTAAGCTCCTGCTGCCCCAGGCCCCTGCTCCTCTAGGCCCCTGCTACCCGGGGCCCTTGCCGCCCTGGGCCCCTGCTGCCCTAAGCCCCTGCCGCCCCAGACCCTTGCTCGTCTAGGCCCCTGCTACCCGGGTCCCCTGCTGTCCTGGGCCCCTGCTGCCTTGGCCCCTGCCACCCCAGGCCCCTGCCACCCTGGGCCTCTTCTCCTCTAGGCCCCCACCACCCCAGGCCCCCAGTGCCCCAGGCACACCATTATTTTCTGTTCGTCTGTACACATCCAACTCAAAAACCCGAACTCACAGCCGTGGATGGATAGAAAGTCCTGGCAGCTCTGCGGGACAGAGTCCCACTGCGTCCTGCCTCCTGGCCGTTGGCCTTTACAGAGGCAGGCTGCCCCATCTTTTTGATGGGTTTGAACCACCAACCCCTTGGTTTTGACCATGGCACCACCGGGTTCCAGCGTGGTTTGCACACGCTGGAAATGAAATGTGGGTTTGTCTTTGGATAAGGTGAGTCGAGGAGTGTTACTTTTCCCCGCTTCCTTTCCTAGTTCTTCTGAAAGTGGCTCACCTACTGCTGCAGAGAGTGCACGGGTAAGCGCTTCTTTTTGCCAGCCCCTCGCTTCGTGTCTTCAGGGCTCATTGAGGACCCACACTAAGGGGGTGAGGGTGGGGAGGGCCTCTGGTGTGTTTTTACTATGAGGCTTGGGGTGCCAAGGGGTCTGGGCAGGGCCGAGGAGATGCAAGAACGAGACTGGAGAGGTAGCATGTTGGGGGTGACGAAGGGCACCTCCTGTGAGCACATGGCCCAGCCCTGAGTCCCTGCCGATTAAGGGGCTGGTTCCCAGAAGCTCTCCGTCTTGCTGGCCAGGAGTCCCTGAAGCTCTCCTCTCACTCGGACCAGGGAAGGTTCTGGAGGAAACACAAGCCCTGGTGTGTGGGAGGGTGGGAGGAAGGCAGCCTCCTCCCAGGCTCTGTCCCCAGGCCCTTGGCCATGGCTGGAGACGGTGTGAAGGAGCCTGTGGCCTCTTCGTCCCTGCCGCAGCCACGCCACACTGGAGCCCACCTTCCACCAGTACCTGGATGCGCTGGCTCCCTACCTGAACCAGGTGAATCTCATCCGAGCTGGGGTCCCGAGAGTCGTGAGTAGATGCCAAGACCTCTTCACCTGTTGGGAGGAGGGAGTGGGAAGCAGAGCTGCTGGACTTGATCTGAGCATTGCTGGGGCTCCCCCTTCATCCCTCCCAACCACCCACCTCCTCTGTCTCACACAGGACCTTTCTCAGTTTCTCTTGTAGGGATTGTGGGTTGGAGGTAGAAAGTACAGAAAATCTGTCCTGTTCTCTGTGTTTCTAGAACTTTTCTGGCCCGGATTATCCCAGCATCCGACCTCCCATCCTCATCCTCAGTGCCAGGAAGTGGCCGGGGCTCAGTGAGCCGCAGGTGTACCGGGAGTTTCAGAACCTCTGCAAGTTTGACGTCCGACGCCTCACCCGCAGTCAGTTCCTGCTCCTGACCAACAAGTTCAAGGAGTGGGTGCTGGGAGCCGCACTGCCATCCTCACCCCCCACCCCCCGGGCAGGTCCACTTAGGACCCTGGACTTACCCGAGAACACCTCTCTGTTGGCAGTGCTCGCAGTGTCCTGCGGGAATACAGACACCACCCTGACTTCCAGGTGTCCCTCTACCGCTACTGGAAACATTCTCCAAACATCAACTGCTTGTTACAGTAAGTGGGCAAGTGCGCCAGGTGGCAGCCCCCCCACCCCCGCTTGCTGTGTGTCTGTGGGCTCTGAGTCGAGTCCAGTTCTTGAGCCGATGGACAGGGATGGTGCCCAGCACGCACTGAGCCTTGGCCGTGGAGGCACGGGTCAGAGTGTGGGGCGTATCACTGAGGAAGAGCTTTGTCACTGAGGGAGAGTGTGGTCCTAGGGGTTCATCAGTGAGGGAGGGTGCTGTCCTGAGGGTGTGTGTGAGTGAGGAGGAGTGTGCTCTCAGGGATATGTCGGTGACGGTGACGGAGAGTGTGGTCTCAGGGGTTTGTCGGGGGGAAGCATGGTCCTTGGGTTTGTTGAGGGGAGAGCGTGGTCCTCGGGGGATTGCTGGGGAGAGAACGTGGTCCTTGGGTTTGTTGGGGGGAAAGCGTGGTCCTCGGGTTTGTTGGGAGGAGAGAGTGGTCCGTGGGGGTTTGTTTGGGGGAGAGCGTGTTCCTTGGGGTTTGTTGAGGGGAGAACATGGTCCTCGGGTTTGTTGAGAGGAGAGAGTGGTCCGTGGGGGTTTGTTTGGGGGAGAGCGTGTTCCTTGGGGTTTGTTGGGGGAACCGTGTTCCTTGGGGTTTGTCAGTGGGGGGAGCGTGTTCCTTGGGGTTTTTTGGGGGGGCCGTGGTTCCTGTTTGCACTGAGCTCACAGTCCTGTAGGCGCTGAGGCAGCATAGGAAATAGTCTGGAATAAATCAGTGGTAGACGGTTCTTGAACTGGGAATGCCCGGGGGCAGATAGTGACATGCTTGATTCCTGAGTTGGTGATGTGAATGTGCTGAACACCTGAGAAGAAAGGTCACAGCTGGTGGAACCTGGGGGCGTCTACTCCGACCCCTCGGGGCACTTCGCGTTGGCATCTGCTTGATGGCAGTGAGTCGATACAGCTTGTTACACAGAGCGGGCTTGGTGTGGGGAGGTGTCAGGGTTGGGGACAGTCAGAGGGCATTGCAGACAGTTGAGGTGGTCTGTGTTAAAAGGCATGAGACACGGGGTTCAGAGGCGTGAGGGTGGAGCCACGCCAGGGAACCTGCAGGACCGTGTCCGGGCCAGTGGAACTGAGAGGACAGAGGCCCAGGTGGGACTGGGCCTGGGGTTGCAGGGCTGCGAGGAGGTGGGGACTGGAACGCCTTCATGTGGAGGGAGCAGCAGTGGGGAGACTGGAGCAGCAGCCAGGCCGGTGGTGCGGTGCGTGGGGTGGGAGGAGCTGATTCGGAGGCATGTACGTTCTGCCTTCTGTGGGGAGGAGGCGAAGGAGGGGCTGGGTCCCCACAGAGGAGATGTGAGAAGGGCCGAGGCCAGATTGGATCCCGGGTCAAGTTTTTGGCCCAGGCTTTTGTAAGAGCGAAAAGCTGTTAAGGAAACTTGAGGAAGAGTTTGGCTGGGCGGCTAGGAACCACCGGGGGCTGTGGTGGCCTTGGTCCAGAGGCTGTGCTCAGCAGAGGTGGCAGTTCCCCAGCGGTTTGAATCCCGTCAGCTCCATGAGATAAAGATGAAGAGCCTCCTTCTGTGTGGTTGAAGCCTTGGAAACTCACAGTGCGTGTCCTCTGTGAGTCGGTTCTGACTGGATGTGGTGAGTGAGGCCAGGAACCAGAGCGACGTAAACAGAGTTGGAGAAGAATGTTTGGCTCCTAGCTGGTGCCTTTTTCCTTCTGTGATCCGTGCCTCTAAGTCACCAGGAAATATGCGTGGTTGGGTCTGTTCCAGAGCCCCCAGACTTGACGGGGCTCGAAGGTGGGAGTGATGGTGTGTGGTGTTGGGGAGCAGTGGGGAGGAAGCCGTGTCTGAGGGGAGAACTGGCGGGGGCTCGGCCTCCAGGCCACTGACTGTGTCATTGTCTTGCAGAGTCTGTGGCATCGTCACCACGTGGGCCCTGGTGGCTTTTGTGCTGGGAAGACCCAACAGCTGAGCACGGGCCCGATGCCCGCAGCCTTGTCACTCTCTTCCTACGCCTGACCGTCAGAGGACCCGGTGTGAGCTGTACTCTCTCTGCAGGTGGCACTGTCAGGTGCCACCTCGGGGGTTTGTACCCCTCTGACTGTGCAGTTCTGTAAATAGTCTCCAGGGTAAAGACATCCTTGGATGTGGTACCTTTGTTTATGGCCAACACTTCCTTCTGTACAACTGAGAAGTCCCCACCTCTGGGGAGTGAGCCAGTTTTCCAGGATCTTGGTGAACTGATAATTATGATCGAAGCAGGAGACCACTGAATTAAAGACTGGTTTCTGCGAGAAAGATAAAGGGCTAGTGGGGACTTAAATCTACCTGAGCCGTTCAGATCCACCCCTTGCTTTGCGGGAGAAGTGGTTTACTGCCTCTGAAAACCCTCTGGAGGGTCAGCTGTGGTTTGGTTCTGACTCTACAGCACATGGCATCAACTTTATTAAAGAAAAAATGTGAAGTTTGGAAGTTTTGTCATGTTTTGTGATGAGTTCAGGCATCTCTGCGTTACAGATGCCTGACCTTCGACTTCCTGTTTAAGTGCGGGCCTTGACCTGGTTCCACTGTGGCCGGGAAAGTGAAAACCGATCGCTTTGTTGATAGGCCAGGATTTTTGCCATTTGTGGAGTGCTCTCAGAAGCAGCAGTGAGAGACTCCAAGGAGGCGTGGTGGACCCCTCAGGAACCAGGTGTGTGAGGTTGAGTGGTTAACAGGCCGTGAGAAGCCGCACACAGCGTGCGTGTGGGCACAGGTGCGGCCATCATGGGAACCTGGTTTAATAGGCAAATACTCCGTCACGTTGAAAGGACTGAACCAGTCCCTTCCCTGAACAAATTCTTCAGTACAGTTACCTTCACTTGCCTTTGTTAGAAACGTGGCTCAGTGTCATAACAGAAACACGGCAGAAAAGAAGATCTTGGCCAAGCTTTGTATTTCTGCAGAAAGTTGCTTGGGCAGACCGAAGTCTAAGCAGCAAGCACACCGGTGGCTGTGCACTCCGGTTTTTATCCTTGACGCAAAAGCTAAGGCTGGTCTCATCCCGTTGATCCAGGGTTTTTTTCTTGTGTACCGTTGAGTTAGATCCGGCTGGCACAGGAGGAGATTGCCCGTCTATCTCCAGGAGAGCATCTGGTGGATTCAAACTGTGCTCCATCCGGACTACAGCACAGTGACTTACCACTGGGCCACCAGAGCTCCCTTGACCCATGACTTACCACTGGGCCACCAGAGCTCCCTTGACCCAGGGTTTTGTTTCTGCCCAGTTTTGCTAATTTGACCTGTGCTTGAAAGGAAGGGACTTGGAAGGAGAGGCTGGGGCGTGAGGAAGTTTAGAATGTCTTTGTTTCAGAGGGTGATGGGGCACCGGGAACTGGCCTTGGCTGCTTTACAGGAAGAATACAAGGACAAGGGAGTTTGTCTTAGTACTTTTCAGAAAAGGGTTCTTGTTTCAGCTTTAACTCCGTCTTGCAACTTTTGAAGAGAAGATAAATAGCTTTTTCTTCCTTATACTGCCCTGTGCAGATTTTAAATCATTATCATAGAAAAGGCCTCACGTGTTTTTGTGAATTAAAGTAAGGCTAATTAAGAACCCTTCTGATCAGACTGACATACAAACTGTTAAAGATACAGAGTCAGATCTCCCATTTGTAACTCAGGGCCTGCCTGTATTATAATAAAAATATTCTCATGTTAGGAAAAAACTATACGCATAGGTGTGTACTTTAAAGATCAAGGTGTAACCTCGTTATTTCTCCTTCCTTCATACTGTCCCACTGTAACAGGAGCAGGGCTGCATGGGGACAGTCATCTGACCTCTGTTAGCTCCGTAAGACGAACTTCCTCCATCAACCTCACCTACAGCACAAAACCAGTTCTCATGAGGTCAGGGATGTCTCCCACACTCCTGCACCTCTGTCCACTAATTTCAACACCAATTTTATTGCTCTACTGAGTCTGAAATCCATTACAGTAGCTCCCAGAGCACATGGAATCATATGACAACTGTGAGCTTTGTTAGGGAATCCAGACTGTACTTGAGGTCGATAGCAGAAGAGAATCACTGAGGACAGTTGCTGAAATGTGCCTGCAGGCACCTCACCCATCAGCCGTGCTGCTCTGGGCCAGTTTTACAAAGCTCTCAGTCCTGCCAGTTACCGCTCTTCCCCTCAGTCCTCCCACAAAAACGGGCGAAGGCTCATGGTGCTGCTTTCGTGGGGTGGCAGTCCCCAGGTCAGCTCTGTCTCACGTCAGGTCTCTGGTTCTGCTTTGGGGCTGCTCCCATAGGACCCTGTCTTGAGTGGCGTGGGAATCTTTGGCCGTACAGGACGCACACTGCATTCGCTGCTGCGTCTGGTGACATTCCCAAAACCTGCTGCTGACTCTGCTCAGTTTGATCGTGGGACGAGCCCGTCCTCTTGTGGATAGGCTCACACCCTCTTTGCATATTCCTGCTTGTCCACATGGCAAAATCCAAGTCAGTGGCTAGAAAAGCCATTTTGAACAATAACCCCTTTGCACCGCACCTACACTTCACTCAGCTTTACCTGAAGTTCCTTTCCTACGAACTGAACTTGACTGCAGATTCATCTAAGTCTTCTTAAACGCAGTCTTGAGGAAATGACCCTCTGTGAATACAGAAGCATTAGCAATGGGGACTGCTCAAGATGAGAGCTGTTTTCAAGGCACCTGAGCCTTGTCTCGGGTGGTGAGTGTGACAGAGGACTGACGGGCTGTTCACATGCTTTTGAGGTCACCTGCTAGGTGCTGTGTTAAGTGGATTAGGACTCCTGGCGAACCAGTGACAACTGCTTTGGACCTGGCCCTGTCCTGTGCCATCCTTATGACCTCTGGTGTGGCCAAGGCCACTGCAGCAGTCACTGTGTCCGTCCATCTCCTTGGAGATCTTCCTCTCTGTCTCTTTCCAAGGACTGGTTTCACCTGGAAATACACCCAGATTAAATGAGGTGGAATCTCCCCATCCTTGTCTCTGAGGAGGACTCTGGTTGCAACTAAGGCTTGAGTTTGTCAGTTCCTTCAGAATACGGGATGTGCTTTTCCTTTTTGGCTTTCTACCACCGGGTGTTTGCACATTCCTTTTTAATATTTTGCTTTGTCTTCCTGAGCTGCCCTTTGACATTTCCTGTTCTGTCCTCTCACCCCGTCCGTCATTCCTTCCGCTTGTTCTGACTCCTTTAAATTCCCGTGCACGTGTGGCCCATCCTTTTCTTTCCTGTCTTTAATGACCTTTTCCTCTCTCCATGGATGATTCCTTGATGGCATCCCGCCACTCACCTGGTCTGTGGTCACTAGTGTTCAGTATGTCAGTTCTGTCCTTAAGATGATTTTTTTCTTCTCTGTGTGTGTACCGTCAAATTGGATCTGACTAGTACAGGAGGAGATGGCCCCTCCTTCTCTGGCAGAGCATCTGGTGGATTTGAACCACATATCTCTGGGATTGCAGTGCAGCTTCTTGCCACTAGGCCACCAGAGCTCCCCTCCTTAAGATGATTTTAAAGTTCATTTGGGATATATTCAGGGTCATATTTTGATTCACATAGAATTGATTTAGTTTTCTTCACCTTCAGTTAGAACTTGCATATGACTAGTTTGAGAGTCTGTTCCACATTCAGTCCTGGCGGTGAACCTGAGCTGCTCCAGGATCTCCTTCACACAGGTGTGGTTAATATGATTCCTATGCAGTCTGTCAGGTGAATTCCATGTGTATGGTGGTGGTTTATTATTTTTTAAATTTTTTTCTTTTTTTATTTTTTGGTTTATGTTTATTTTTTAAAAGAATTTACAATGAATAAATCATTGTTCAAAATTCTGTCATGTGATCTCCAGCTCCATTTCTGTCACCAAGACCATTTTTTCCAACCACTAGTCCTCCTTTGTCTCCAGCTTTTGGATTCTGGCCGCCAGTTATTGATGTGTCTTGATGGCGTGATCGATGGCTCTCAGACACAAGCTGTTGTCGATGGTTGTCTATAGTGTCAAGTCAGAACCAGCTCGTAGTTGACCCTCCAGCAGGTGTTCAGAAGCAGGTGGGTTGATTTACAGCCTTGGAAACCAGATGGGGGTTGCTATGGGTCAGAACCAGCTACAGCAGTGAGTGAATGAGTTGCCCTGCAGGAGAGACAAAAGCATCTGCTTCTGTACAAATCAAAGCCTAGAAACCCCATGGGGTAGCCACTGGGGGCTGGGATCGACTCTAGGTCATTTAGCTTTAGAAGGTGAGGCACTATTTATTTATTTTTAAAATTTGAGTGTAAGTTTACAAATCATAGACATTTTGTTTTATGACATTAATTGCCATCAATTACGTTTTTATGACAAATTGACATCAGTGGTTTACCTGATTAATGCAATTAATTAATTACAATCCTCGTGACATAGTGGGTAAGAAGTTGCACTGCCAACCCAGAGACAGATGGTTTGAATCCACCAGCTGCCCTGAGGGAGAGAAATGACCGTTTTTTGCCTTGTATGATTTACAGTCTCTGAAAACCTGCTGGAGGGTCAGCTGTGAGTCAGTTTTGGTTCAGTGGCATATAACAACAACCGCAACCACAACCAGCCTTGTTATGCAGATGACACAGTCTTTCTTGCGCAATGTGAGGGCTTGAAATCTTGGTTGCTTGCAATGTGAATTACATCTCAACGGCAGTAAAACAAAACCCCTCACTACTGGGCCAGTAGGCACCATCATGATAGATGGAGAAAAGATTCAAGTTGTCAGGGATTTCATTCTCCTTGCATCCACCGTCAACACCATTATTACCAGCTATGGAGAAATCCAAAGATGTCTGTTGTCAGGGCCCTCTCCAAAGTCCAGAGAAGCAGTGATACCAGTTTAAAGAATGAAGTCTGAATTAAGCCAGGATCTTTTCAGTCAGCTGCCATGCATCTGGAAGCTGGACGACAAAGATGACAGAAGAAAGATCGATGCCTTTGAGCTGTGGTGTTGGA